TTTTTTTTTTTTCTTTTTTGTTCTGGACTGCAAAATAGGAATGCCTTATATTTACATACACAGGTATACAATTAATTATAACAAAGGTACAGAAGCTTTGCCTTTACCAAGTAACAACGGGATTCCAATTTAAATAGTATAGATTTTCTTTCTTTCTTTTTTTAACTAGGATCAGTTCAAAAGAAAATCAAACTAACAACAACAACAACCTAAGAAAAAGGATCCCAACCTCCTTTCTAATGCTGTCTTGACATCTATTTGAGGCTGTTAGTAACACTGTGGTGAAAGGAAATGTCTTTCCATTGATTTTGAGTTGGAAGCTTTAGCAAAACAGAGAATGAGACTTCTGGGCTCACGTGTATGTCCAAGACACAGGGTCAGACACAAGGAAGGGCCTCTCTTGTGACCTTAAATAATCCAGTTGCCTCTCTAATCCTTGGGGAAAACACTGGGAGCATTTAGCTAGCACCTAATCTCTCTGCTTCCTTACCCCAGCCTGGGCTGGAAAGCGGAATTTCTCCAGGGAATGGAGAAAGAGCAGCATAGAAAGTTTAAATAACACCAAGTTTCTCTTAAGATACTTCAGAAAGGACTTCAAGCTTGGACATGTGCCTTGATTTCTCCAACTGGCTCTTGTGCCTCAGTCTGTCTGAAAGTGAACAGCAGCTTCTCCACTGGGGAATGCCAGACCACACCAGTAAAAGAAGGAAATGCTGAGAAGAGCCTGAATGTCCTGGTTTTCCCTCTGTTTTCCACACCCAAGTTTGCTTTACTGAGCTTCCCTGCACTCTGCTCTCTGCTGCGAGCGTCTTTGAGGTGATCTGTTTCCAAGCAGAAAGAATTTCTTGAGGTAAACTCTCCATTTTTAGAACAGAAGATTAAAAAAAAAACAAACCCAAAAACAACACAACAAAAAACCAAACCAACCAAACAATGAACAAACAACGACGACAACAGAAATCAAACACGTGACAGGTTGATTAGACTAAGCAGCTTTGTAACTTCTGTGGGGTTTTTGGTGGGTTTATTTTTCCAAGTGTAAATTCTGTTTGGTTTTTTGTTAACTTCTTTTTGACATCTTTCTACAAATTCTTTTTTTTTTTTTTTTGCTGTAAGTATGTGTCCCCTTGGGTGCTTCTCCAAGTGTAGAGAACTGGGCCACCCCAAATAAAACACGGTTGACAAGCTCTATTTTCAAAGCATTCTCCACAAAGTCATTATTCCCAGTAAGACAGCAAGATTTTTTTTTTTTTTTGGGAAAGGGGCATTGTACAGTCACAGAGGTGAGGGAAAACTGCAGGATTTAATGGACCAAGCACTACCCTGAAATGGGAGCTGCACCAGGTGCAAAGCAGGAAAATTCAGGCTGGAAATGAGCAGGAGGTTGAGGTTCACACCATGATGTTGAGGTTCACGTGTTTCACCAATTTCCTGCCACACAGCACACCAAGTTTGGATGGCAAGAGTTAGGACATCCCAAACCCTCCACCTGCCCTGGAGGACGACTCTCACTACTTATATTTTCATTTCTCCTCTTTGGAAGAGTCCCCAAATAGCAGCGTCTCTTCCCAAAGCACTTTGTTAAAGCCTTGGAGAAGGACAAATCTACATTTCATGTTTTGACTTAGTTCTGAACAACTGTCCTTCTGATACTGGCTGTTGTGTGCTTGGGTTTTTACCTCACAAGCATCCCAGACTCCAGGAAATTCAGAGGGGACTCAACAGGAATGCTGACCACTGAATGGACTCTTCAAATTTGATCTATTGGTTTTCAACAGCACTATTAAAAATAATTACAATTATCTGATTTGCTTGGTCTCATTCCCTTTATGGCAGACATTTTCTTGTGGGTGAATGCAGAAGATCGGGAAACTTTGGAAATAATTTTTCAGTCTAAGAAATTACCAAATTAAATTTTGGTAAATCTTCTTTGTGACCCAATAAATTTTATGGTCTTCAGTGTCAAAGATGCAAGATAAGACAACTGCAGTGGTAACACTACAGGGATGAAAATTGGGATAGCCCTCTTATTTAATGGAGCAAGGCTGATGTGTGCTGGGTTGGACCAAACCTTTGGATATGTTCAGGACAGGGTGAAGAGTGGGAAGAGAAGGACTGGGGCATGTTTTAATATTCAGACTCTGTGATCTTAGAGGTCTTTTCCAACCTAAATCATTCCACGATTCTGTGCTAGGAGAGGAAGGTGGCTGAATTTCTCCTCAGTTGTTCTCCTGTGCTGTATAAACTCTGCAGTGAAGAAATAATGTTGACTCTCTCCACAGAACCTCAGAGAGTCTTCATGAGTTCCCTTCCCCTGTTTCTGATGGTGCTACAGGTGCCAGCATTAATTATTTGATTGCAGTGTTTGAGAAATGCTCGTAAATATCAGCCTATCATCTGGAATATTCTGGATATTAGGAGCCTGTCCATGGGCTTTTAGGAACTTTGGCTCCAGTTCTCTCCATTCGGCTTGAAAAGCAGTGTGGGACACTACTTATTTTTCAGGAATTTTTGGTCAGGTGTTGAGAGGGAGGTGGGGGGAACAGAAATAAAAGGAAAATAAAGCATCCGTGTTGTAGTAGGGCTCATTCTTCTGCTTGGGTCTTTGTTTTTAGTTGTATTTTACATGCACTTAAAAAATAGTTAGCTCAACAGGTGAGGCTGGGAAGAAAGATGCCAAGACTTCTCATAGACTGGGGGATTCTGGGACACTGGTTGGAAATGGGAAGGGCACTGAAGGGGACAGGGGAGGAAGCCCACGCATTTACATCACAATTCTGGCACATTTTCCAAGCAAAAAAGCAAATCCAGCTCAAACACCAAACTAAAGAGAAACAGAAAGACAAAGAAATAAAGAGGAGATGAAAGAGAAGCAAAACGCAGATTTTCTTTCAAATCCCGGGCATGGGGGAAAGAAGAGGGTGGGGGAAAAGCAGAAATGCCTAAATGGGAAGTTTGGAAAGGGTTAAGACACCAATCTCCTGGTGCTTCCCATTTCCCCTAAGTGTTTCATTCTCAGTGTCTCTGAGGTGTTCAAGTTTTTCCTCGAAAAATATATATATATAATATACAGATGAAAAACTCCGTACCAGCAAGAAGAAATAAAATAACAACCATGGAAAACAACCATAACAAACCAAAAACACAGCCCTGAAAACATCGAAAAGAAACAGGGTGAGTCTCAGATTTCCCCTGTGGTGTTCCTCTGACTTCAGTAACAGTACAGGATCACACCAGTTCATTTTGATACTTTTTTTTTTTGTTTTTTTTTTTTTCTGTTAAACAGCTTCTTCTTCCTCTCATGTGCGCATGTCCAGGCAGGATCGCCCATCACTCATAACCACTTCCCTCCAAGCCAGCTCTTTGTCCTTAGACTCCTACCATCCAGCTGTGAGTACAAGGCATGACAATAGGGTCCATATTTATCTGTTGTGGCACTTTGTTTGTCAAAACCTTTGGTTTCTTCCTTTTTTTTTTTTAAATTTTTTCCCCTTTTTTTTTTTCTTTTTCCTTTTTTTAAATTTATGTACTTATAAAAAATACTGTGTTTGTGTGTTGTTTGTTGTCATTTTCTTACCACTGGCTCTGGTGGGACTTCCCACTTTCACAGCCATTCATCAATGGATCTGGAACATGCGCTGACGTTACTTAAATGGATCAACAAAACCATGGCAGAACCAACCAAACCCAAACCATCCCCAATGCGCAGGCCTCTTAAAACTGCTGAGATGTCCATAAGGTGCATGATGAGTCCATCAGCTCAGCAATCCCACAGAAAGCAAGCAGAACCAAAAATAAAAAAGAGGAAGGAAACGCACACGCGCACACAGATACACACGCACAAAATAATTGGAATTGCAATCAAGAGAGAAATATCTGGGGGGTTTAAAACCAAGACGTGTCCCTAAGTTTGCTGTTTCAACGTGAATCTGGTGATTTTTCTCCCCACAGACACGTCCAGTGTTGGACTGAGTGGTTTTGGACTCGCCTACGTGTGTATCTGCCTGGCTGAAGGAAACCCTCCCGCTGCCTGGCTCCTGCTTGCACCACACCATCCCTCACGCACACCCGGGATCTGCCACTCCCAAGAGGTTCTGGTTTGACAGCAAGAGACAGGAATGAACCCAAACAAACTCGCTCTGTAATCACTTTACACACCCTGCACCCCTTCCTCCCTCCAGGCACAAAGCAGATCCAGGCTGTTGCTCCAAGGATGGGGTGAGGTGGATGTGGGCTGATCCTCCAGCTGCTCCTCCATCTGCCAGGGAGCTCTGCTCATGGCTGGGGAGATGAATGCTGACCCAGCTCTTGCCTCCCTGGCGAACAAGGAAGGTTCTCCACACCCTGAGGGTCTCTGGTCATGGTGTTATCCAGGCTGGCAGCCGTGCGGATGGAACAGCTGAAGGCAAAAGAGATGCAGGAGCTCACTCCCCTTTGGTTGGCCATGAAACAAGTCGAGATGGTCTGGAGAAGCTGAGCAGAGGATGGCACAGGGACAGGGTGATCCCCCACAATTGTCCCATGGTGACAGCAATCCCTGAAGGGATAAGAAGTGCAAAGAGAGATAAAATCCTTCCTAGGCAGCAATTGTGCCTTCAGCCAAGGCCTGTTGGTTCCAGAAATGGATGAGAGGAAAGGCCAGGAGTTGGCACCAAAAGGCAGATGGGCTCACAGCAGTTCAGAGACCTCCAGGAGACAGGCAGTTCGGCTGGGGGCATCTAGGTAGAAGAAATTTTTTGCAGTGTTTCATTTGGATTTCCTCCAAGATTTCCTTCCAAAGTGTGTGGTGACATTTCCTCTTAGGAGCGGCTTGGTAGGAAGGCTTTACCATCAGCCTCGTGCACCATCTCACTTCACAGCAAGCATTTCAGTAACCCTCTGATATTCCACTATGGGAAAATAACAGCTGTGTTCCAGTTGAGGAAACAAAATGGAAAGAACAGCTTAAAAAAACAAAACAAAACAAAAAATCCTTCTGGTTCTTCTTTTGAGGCTGAGCTCCTTGCCTGGAACAACCCGAGGCCTGTGGCTCCTGCTTTCCAAGCCAAGGTGGGAACAAGGGGCATGATGCTGTGCTCTCCAAGGGCAGGAGGAGCAGGACCACCACCACAGACAGGATGCCACCCAGCAGACAGAGCGTTTTGCTGCAGTGCTACGACCAACAGGACACGACGGGAAAGACGGAGGGGGACACGCGGCTCTTGGGAAAATAAGAAGAACCATATGAAACACATGGGCAGGGCAGTGTCGGTCTCCTCGTCCCCTCTTGACCCTTTCCCTGCCCCAGGAGAGCAGCTGTTTGCACAGGCAGGATGAGCCACGGTGGCCCTGCTCTGGACACAGCTGTGGCATTTTTGGGGGAGCCTCCTCTCCCAGTGGGTGGCTATCGAGGGATAAAATTGCAATGGCTCTGCCCTCCAGGAGCCCTGCAGGCAGGCTGCCTTCCTTCCCCTTGGGGACACTTGAGTAATACTGAGTTCATTTCCATGTCCTCTCCAGAGGCTACAGCCCTCAGAGGGCAGTTAAAGCAGCATGACAGAAGTTACCTCCCAGTTTCACCTCTGCAGAGTGAGGATGCGATGCTGGGCGAGGGTTGGTGGGGTTTTCGCGTGCGTTCAATAGTTTCCCTCTAGGGCAAAAGGCAGAGGGGAAGCTGTGAAAAGGAGAGCTCCACCCAAATGTCTTCATGGCCCCAGAGCCAAGATTCCTCTGCAGTCTTTTCTTTTAACCCCTGGGGCTCTGTTGCTTTGTCCATAGTTTGGAAAGAGAAGGAAAAGAGAGAAAGAGAGAGTGGGAGGAGAGAGAGAGAGAGGAGCGCTGTTCGGGTGACTCTGCTTACAGCCCATCAAAACTTGCACTTGGTAAAGATGATGATCTTGAGTGAGGCACGACTTGGTTTATCCCTCCCAGGGTGTCCCTGGCAGGACAGTTCTCAGCTGTCTATGCTCATGAGGGTTATAACTTGTTCAAGTTTGTAGGCAAGTTTCTGTTTCCCAGCCTGGTCGTCTTGATCAAGTGCTCCAAGAATCTGGAAAAGGAGAGAGGAAGAAGTGATTGGGATTTCAGTTTCTTTCCCCAGAATGACCGAGTTCAGCATCTTAAAGCAGCAGAGGAGGTTTGAGCTTTCTCTAAGGCAGGTCCCGGGCTTATTTTAGATCATGCAAGGCAAGTCAGTCAGCCAGGAGTAGGCAGGGAGTTTGGGATTGATCTGACTCAATGCAGATCTCTGAATTGTGACCAATCAAATGGATTCTTATCTTGGAGATCTGTTATTTATCTATTTATGAGCTTTATCCATCACCTGGCCATGCCACTTGAGATGCCCTAAGGGGTCTCACATGGCCTTCAATACATAGAACCATGCTGGACACCTTAAAAGTCTGTGTTGGACCATTTTGGGGTGTTTTAGGGTATCTGGAATGACATTGGGCACAGTCCTTAAGGAATTTTTGGCCATTGTGGATGAAAAACATCCACAACAAAGTGAGTTAACATCTGACCATCAACTACTTCAGCTGAGCCTGACTGAATGAGAGAGACACAAAACAGGGATCCAAAATCCCAGACCTTCCCTTTCCAAACCCCAAGCCTTGTCTCTCATTCCTTAAATCCTCCACCCTCCCAGCCAGGATGCAGACAGGTACCAGTGACCCACCAGGGGATGGGTGGGCTGTCCCCTGGCCCCCCAGAGGTGTCCCCAGGCTCTCACCTCCTCTCCCATGGCCCCTCAAAGGTGTCCCCAAGCTCTCACCTCCTCGCTGTACTTGCCCACGTAGGAGTAGATCTCGGAGAGCGCGCTCATGGTGTTGAACTCGTTCATGTGCATGCGGGACTGCTCAGCCAGGTAAGCATTCATGTCCTGGTCACTGATTGCTGGCATCTTGGCAATGTCTGAGTAGTACCTGAGGGGCACAAACACAGGGGTTTCTTGAGGGGAAGAGAAGGAGATCAAGAAGTGAAAGCCACAAGCAAAACAGAGAAAAAAACTCCACACATAGTGTTGGGTTTTTCTGGCTCCTGAGTGAAACACCTGCTCATGCTCTTCTTTTACAGCAAGAAAGGATGATTTAGCCAAGGTGGAAATGACTGAGCACTCATCCTGAGCACCACATAGGTCTTGTATTCACCCCAATCTGAGAATGAAGCCCCAAATCCGCAAACAAAAAGGGGAAAAAAAAAATCCGCACGTAGTGTTGGGTTTTCTGGTTCCTCAGTGCAATACCTGCTCATGCTCTTCTTTTACATCTAGAAAGGTGACTTAGCCAAGGTGGAAATGACTGAGCACTCACCCTGAGCACCAGCTATGTCTTGTATTCACCCCAACCTGAGAATGAGGACCCAAATCCGCAAACAAAAAGGTGAAAAAAAAAAAAACGCCTTGTGTTGGGTTTTTCTGGTTCCTCATACACCTGCTCATTCTCTTTTACAGCAAGAAAGGTGACTTTGCCAAGGTGGAAATGACTGAGCACTCATCCTGAGAACCACATATGTATTGTATTCACCCCAATCTGAGAATGAAGCCTCAAAGAGCATCCTGTAAACTTTCCCAGTCAATAGTAGCTGGATTGAAGCTGGATCATTTTGTGACATATTCAGGGGCTTTTAGCCCTGCTTCTCTTCCCAGAGAGACCTTGCTGCCCACTGAGAGCTCAGGATTTCACTCCCACACACAGAAAAACCCCAAATATTTGTATTTTTTCCTTGCACCATTCTCACCACTACATCTGCTCCCATTTCTGACATCCCCCACCTTCCACACTCAGTCCAGTCTATCCCAACATCTCTCTTGCTCAGCATCTCCTTTTTTGCCCCATATTTTAAGCTGGCCTGATATTTGTGGCAACAGCATTCAATTCCAGTCTAGGAAAAAAATCTGCTTTTCCTAGAAGAATCTGCTTTTCCTAGGAGTCAACAGCATTCCCCTGGAACTCAGGAGGACTGGGGGATTTATCCATAGGCTCTGGATCCCCCAGAACCATTGCCCAGCAGGCTTCATGTGCAGAGTGATGTCTCTTTAAGGAAGTTGCTATTTTGGATGTCCTTCCTCCCCTGGGTAAGGCAGGTCTTGGAGGACAAGGTTTGCAGAAGGTAATCAGTCACTGTCACTCGCAGCTGTGCTCTGCTGTCAACTGGTTAATTAGACACCATCATTTACATTTTTAATTTCTGCAATTTGACATTTTGTGCAGAAGGAAAAAAAAA